GTTTTTGTAAGATATTCCAGGAAACAGGAGCGGAATAGGAGAAGGACCTTTTGCTTAGTTCAGTCCTCATTGAGGGAACACTGCAGGTGATAATGTCCTGAGAGCGCACTCCGTAGCTGCACTCACGCAGAGACATGTAGGAGGAGATGTATGAAGGCAGCAGACCAAGAAGTGATTTAAAGATGAAAATATACCAGTGAGAGAGTCTGCGTGAAGTTAATGATGACCAGTTAACCAGTGAATACAGTGTGCAGTGGTGGGTACGATAATCACAGCCAGTTATGAATCTTAGTGCACCATGATAGACAACATCCAACATCTGCAAGGTTCTTGTAGGAGCATTCATGTAAATAATATCACCATAATCAATTGAGGGAAGGAAAGTCACAGATACAAGGCGTTTTCTAGCATTCAGGGTTAGACAGGATCTGTTTCTGAAAAAGAAACCCAGTTTAACTTTCAGTTTCTTTACCAAGTTTTCCACATGGAGCTTAAAAGAGAGATGTGAGTCGACCAAGATACCCAAATATTTATAGGAATCAACAAACTCAATGGGGACACCATTTGAGGATAAAATTGGAGGAAGAACTGCTGGGACCAACTTCCTATTTGAAAAAAGACTCCCTTTGGTTTTGTCGGCATTTAGGACAAGTTTGAGGTGAAACAAATCAGTCTGGATGATGTTGAATGCAGATTTCAAAAGCTGGAAAGCCTTAGCAACAGTTTTAGCTCGACAATAAACAACTGTATCATCAGCATAGAAATGTATGGATACATTAAGGATGTTTTTACCTACATTATGTATGTAGATTGTAAAGAGGGTGGGTCCTAAGACCGAGCCTTGTGGTACACCATTGTTAACTGTTAAATAACTGGAGGAAATACCATTATGTTGAATACATTGCCTGCAATCTGAAAGATAGTTAGAGAATGGTATGATCTGAGAAACCAATTTCTGAGAGCTTATGACACAAGATGTCATGGTCCACAGTGTCAAAAGCCTTAGGCAGGTCTAAGAAAATTGCAGCACAATAATCCTTAGCATCCAGTGTTTCAACAACGTTATTAAGAACCTTCAGTGAAGCAGTCGTTGTGCTGTGTTGTTTCCTGAAACCAGATTGATGGAGAGGTAAGATGTTAAATGAGTCCAAATACGTTTTGATTTGAGAGTGTATCAGTTTTTCTAGAACCTTGGCTAAAATGCAGAGTTTAGAGATTGGTCGATAATTGTTCAGTGAGGTGGGGTCACCTCCCTTCTGCAAAGGAAGAACAAAGGCTGTTTTCCAAGTGTCTGGAATGGAATTTTGGCTTATAGACAGGTTAAAGATGTGGGACCAGTACTGCAATGATATGAGTGGCCAGCCTTAAGAAATAAGGTGGACGTTCATCTGGTCCTGCAGATTTTTTAGAATCTAGACCTTTTAATATTTTATATACCTCACTAACTGAGAACGGGGAAAGAGAAAAGGTGTGATTTACTGAAGATTGACGTAGGAGAGATATGAGTTGTAGAAGTTTGACTTTATGGGGAAGTGGGTGATTTTCTATTAGTAACTGTGTCAAATAAAGAGCTAGATGCAACAAAATGTTTGTTGAAACAGTTCAGGATCTCGTGCTCATTTGACACAAAAACAGATTTAACAAGAAGTTGTGATGGGAGGTCAGATGATTGGGAGCTGCCGGAGAGAGATTTGATGGTTTTCCAGAATCTTTAGGGGTCATTTAGGTTTTTGGAGGTCTGAGATAAAGAAATAGTTACATTTTGCGGCTTTTATGGAAGTTGTACATTTATTCCTCAGCTGTCTAAAACTCAACCAATCAGTGTCTGAGCCAGATTTTCTCACTACAGCCCAAAGCTGGTCTCTCCTGTCCAGGAGGTCAGAAAGTTCAGGAGCAAACCATGGGCTGTCTCGTCCTTTTATTCTGAACTGGCGAAAAGGAGCATGTTTGTTTACAAAATAGATTAAACTATTATGAAAATAGTTCCAAGTGATGTTCATGTCATGCCAGTGAAAGTGAGATAAATTCCAGAGGAATGATTGCTCACAAAAAAACATTTCAAATCCCTTTTTTAAATTAATCTGGGCTTAGAATGTGGAAGTTTCATATCTCTGAGAGTCGCTATTACACAGTGATCACTCAAAACATTAGGCCAAAGTCACATACACCCAGAAAACTCAGAGTCACTTCATCACCAATGACCCATGGCACATGTGGAAGGGCATCAAGTGCATTATGAACTAAAACATCAGGGATGCACAATGCCGCAGGGACCTAGGGACCTAGGGACCAAAGGACCAAGGGACCTAGGAACCAAAGGACCAAGGGACCTAGGAACCAAATGACCAAGGGACCCAGGCATTTCTCCTTCTGCCTGGCTCCTGAGTTAGTGGGGACACTGCCAGCTCTGTGGTACAGAGTCCTGATGACTCCTAACTTGTGCTCCAGGGGGTGATGGGAGTCAAACTGCAAATACTGGTCAGTGTGGGTGGGTTTGTGGTACACTTCCGTTTGCAAATGTCCTCCATCAGAAACTTGGACTGTACTTATATAGTGCCTTTCTATCTTATTGAGATATTCAAAGAGCTTTACATAACAATCTGTGCCTCATTTACCCATTCATACAGCTCTATACTAGATCTCTGCAAAGCTAATTGAACAAATCATTCTAAAGAGATTAATCAGTGCTTTATCACATTCATACACCGATAGGACACACATCGGAGGCAGTGAGGGGTTCAGTGTCTTGCCCAGGGACACTTTGGCATGTGACTGCTGGTGAATTCGAACCCCCAACTCTTGTAGTGGAGGACGACTGCTCTAACCACTCAGCCACAGCCGCCTCAAAGTCCTGAGACCTCACAGTCCAAGAAAGCCAACCTTCCATATTTTACATCTTCTTGTGTGAACTTTATATATTTATCCACAGAGTTGATGTGATCAGTGAAATGTTGGACTTCCTGGAGTCAGGCAGAAGGAGAAATCCCACACAAGACAGGCCCTGGAACAATGTGGATATCCTAACTGAGCCTTCCTGAAAGCAGAGAAGAAACCCAAACAGGACTCCAGCCAGACATCAAGTGAAAAGGAGGAACCTAGACCAGTGGTCATTCTGTATGTTGCGGGAGTTTTAGACAAACTGTGATGTTTATTTTCTAAATATGACATCCCAGTGGCTTTCAAACCCCAATATTCATTACAGCAAAAACTGGTCCATCTCAAAGTCCCAGTCCCCCGACACAAACAGAGTAATATTATGTATGCTGTTCAGTGTCAGGAGGGCTGTGACCAGTCTTACATCGAGGAAACTAAACAGTCACTGGCCAAAAGGATGGCCCAGCACAGAAGAGCAACATCATCAGGCCAGGATTCTGAGGTCTACACTCATCTCCAGGCCAGCGGTCACCCTTTCAGGGATAAAGATGTTCACATTCTTTGATAGAGAGGAACGATGGATTGAGAGAGGAGTGAAGGAAACCATCTTTGTGAAAAGAAACCATCCATCAGGGGCAGAGGCCTCTGTGTCCAACTTTCTCCCTCTTACCATGCTGTTTTTGCTAGTATCATTCAGCCCCCTGTGAATATCAAGCGGCCATCAGAGCACTAACAATCAGTTGTTGGGCTGATGGTCCTCCTTTGCTAGTTTTGGCTGTCACCAGCCAACTGATACACTATGAGCAGGTATTATTTATAGACCCATTTACAGCCTACATCAGCAAGAAGCTACGCCTTTTGGATAAAATACGAAATGTTTCAACATTTTTTTTTTTTTTTTTTTAATCAGTCCAGAGGACCTGACTTAACTTTGTTAGATTTTTCTACCTGGATTACTGAGCATGCATCAGGATATTAAATTGTGTATTTTTATTTGTTTTTATTGTTTTTGTTGTGCTTTGGCAAAATTGTATACTTACTGTTAGATACTGTGTACTGAAAATGTTTGAGCATAAGTAAGGATGCTCACAGCAAGTCTGAAGTGTATGTTTGTTTACACACACTTTCAAGCAACATTCGTTATGATATTTCCTGATGTGTGCATGGAACCTGGCATATGCAACCTTTTTGTCTGTACACACCACTGACACAAGGCCCCAGGTCGTTTCAGTTGTAGCTCCTAAGCTGTGGAACCAGCTGCCTCAGTGCCAGACAGACCAACATTTGGTGCTTTAAATCTCCTCTTAAAACAATCTTGGCTCACTGGATTTTATTACAGCTTGAAAATTAACATTTTATTGTGTATTTTAAGGTTTTAGAATTAATTTTGTTTGAATTTAATGTGGGCAGCACGGTGGCGCAACAGGTAGAGCTCCTGCCTCTCAGCAAGCAGGTCTCTGGTTCAAATCTTGCAGGGGCCTTTCTAGGTTGAGTTTGAATGTTCTCTCTGTGCATGCGTGGGTTTTTTCCGGGTTCTCCGGTTTCCTCCCACAGACCAAAAACATGCATGTTAGGCTGATTGGTAACTAAATTGTCTCTAGGTGTGAGTGAGTGAGTGAATGGTTGTTTGTCTCTATGTGTCTCTGTAATGGACTTGCGACCAGTCCAGGGTGTACCCCGCCCCCCACACAGTAATTCCCGGACATGGGCACCGGCGACCCCCGTGACCCAAAATGGAAGAAGCGAGTAAAAGATAATGGATGGATGGATGGATGGATGGATGGATGGATGGATGGATGGATGGATGGATGGATGGATGGATGGATGGATGGATGAATTTAATGTTTTGCTTTTGTTCGATTATTGTTGTCTTCTCGAGAATTGATAAATTTTGCACCTTGTTAAAAGTTTTTTTCTTAAATGTTGACGATTGTGTTATAACATGGAACCTTTCCTGGATGCACTCAGTATGTGAGGACTGCTTTGCTATTCTATATCATAATTTTAATTCTACATCCTAATATCTCCTGTTTAATCAAGTTAGGAAGTTAATACTTTTAAACAAACAGTACACTAATCCCTGTGTTTTCTTGATGTTTATCCAGCAGTAGATACATAAATCTCACTTGAGGATCTGCTAGACGTGTTGGATCAGGAGAAAGGTAAAATCGGATTCCATCTGCAGCTCCGGGCAATGTCAAACCACGGATCAGTAGAATGATCAACATCACATAGGGAAAAGTGGCTGTGAAGTAAACAACCTGAACAAAGATTCATACAGGTTAGTTTCCAGAATTGTGTTTAGGTTTAACTGCAAGTGAGAGGAAGGTACAGAAAAAAATAGTGACATTGTATTATCAAACCTATGAGCATCTCACCTTTCCTGATGACTTGACACCTTTCCAAATACAAAAATAACAGATAACCCAGCTGAGTAAAAGACATCCAGCTAGGTCCCAGCGCATACCGCCCATTTCTTCAATACCTCCAGACAAAGACAGAACTCTCCTTCTGTTTTCATAAGAAAATAAAATGTTTACAGTTTATTTTTAGGCCTCATAAACACTATTATCATTTCAGTGAGGTACTTACTGCCAATACTCATTAACTGATGACGTTGCATTTTTGTTGGCATGACCATAAAATGATTCATTGAGGCGGTTATCAAAACAGTTCCCTGCAGTGACAAAGTAAAACTGATGACAAGTGAATTCAGTAGAAACAAACAAAATAAAAGTCTAGCACGTCTTGAAGTAAGGCATATCACCCACCTTTCCTGCCACAATTTTAGACTAAGAACATTTTTTACTGTGCAATAAAGGTCAAGGTCAAGGTTTCTTTATTGTCATTCGCATCATATGTGTTACATGTGGTGGAACAAAATTGTGTACACAGGGTGCCAGTTACAGCCAACAAAATTATAAATTGTAAATTTTATGGGGCAGCTGTGGCTGAGTGGTTAGAGCAGTTGTCCTCCAATGCGAGTCTCGAACCGTGCTCGAGTTTTCTTCTACCAGACCGAGACCTAGGTTTTAGACCGGGCCAGAGTTCGCCTTTTTGTTTCGTGACAGAGTTCGATGGTGCGTTCACACCTCCCCAAATGAACCGGACTTCCTAGGAAAATGGGCTAGAGTTTGGGACAAAAGGGCTGGGGTGAATGCACCCTCAATGTCCCTCCACATGCTCATTGGGTCTTGTGAGGTGAATTGACCCTGGATCTTCTGTGCATATGTGGCTTTGGTTTTTTAAATACCACCAACCAAAGGAGCAAATAAAATAGCAAATACCAGCAAACAAAGAAGTGGTTGCTTTGGTCAAACCTGGAAAATTATCTGATACAATATCCCAAGATGTGTTAGCACTCAGTTTGTGAATGACTCTCAGCTACTACAATGACTTTAGCTTAATATCTGTATATTTTGATGAGTTAAAGCCATTTTTTTATTGGCTAAGTTGGATGAAGTTAGGAACTCACTGGACTGTAACTGTTGGAGACTAGAGACTTGAAACAGTGAGAAATAGGCATATTTTCAGTTGAAGTCACACTAAAGTCTGAATGTCTTTTTGTGTCTGGTAACAAATGGTACCTTTAACTTGTCAGATCTCCAACAGTCTTGAGTCTGTCATTTGTACCTTTACGATTTTCTATATATTACTTTGTATATAAATGAATAAACAAGTATACACACACACACACACACACACGTATGT